CCTATTGTTTTTCAGACACGCTCCTCAATGTAATCACAAAATATACTATATGATCTCTTTTGTGCGACCTCCTCTGAGCACCTCTGTGCATCTGTCTCTCTCTCCCACTTTACTGATTTGGGTAGAATACCAGAGAGCTAACAGGCTGAAGGAGAAGCAGGAAAGTCTACTGTGTGGGCTTAAAAAATAATTTGCTTCCATACCATAAAGTAATGCATATCCATTGTAGAAAATTAGGAAAAAAGGTGGCTTTTTCCTAAGAAAAAAGGAAAAAAAGTGAAATTCTTAATGATTACCTTTAACCATTTCACCAAAATCTTTCCCGTCTTCTTTGTGTGTGTGCATGTGTGTGTGTGAGAGACAGCAAGAACAAAATGGGATCAAAGCATTGTGGATTCTGATTTTTCCTTTCTAAACCACATATTGAACATATTCAAGTATCAGTGACATTTTTCTATAACATCTATTCATATTCAGCAAAACATCTTTCAATAATCCCTTACCATTGAACATATAGGTTGTTTCTATTTGGAGACAATATAACAAATTCTACAGTGAACATCCATGTACCTGTGGCTCTAAGAATAACCCTGATTATTTCTTTAGAATAAATTCTGTGGAGTAGAATTGCAAACAATTTTGAAACAACTCTTTTATTCTTATTCCATGAGAAACAATCTTTTTATTTAGATTTTGTGAGAGGCCTCCATTAGCACATGACTCTTCTTGGACTTAGCTCCGTGCAAGTTCCAGTTAACTGAGTTCATTAACTAAATGATTTTGGTGTTGAACTCGTGGTTGTCAACCTGCAAATATGTATATGCTGTAAATGAATCACCCAACACAGATTTTTTCCTTCCCTGAAAGCTCCCAGCAGGCTGGCATTTCCTGCAGCCTATTTCTCTAACTAGTCCTGGTTGCTCACGTCTTTATGTTCCTGTTTACTGTCTCCCAGTGGATATGTGTGCTTTGATCCCAGTCATGCTGGCCCCCATCCCTAAATCTCATTCTGCTAGATCCTGTCTTTTAAGTCCAGAGGCTTTTCTACCCGTAAGCCTTTCATTAGTTTCTCTCCATCAGAGTTTGTAACACTTTGTCATGTGGTCACCTTGGCCAATTTCATCAAGATGTTTATATCATATGGATCGTTAATAAAGATTAAATGGGCAACACCTAAACTGACCTCCCTGGCCTCACCCAGTGCTCCACCCTGTGTCAGTTTCAGCCCTGTATCTCATGACACTTCTGTGCTTTCTAATTGTCACCCCACGTGACCACACATTGACTGAAGAAGCTGGACTCTGTGGTCAGACCACATAATGCCTTAAGCAAGGACCACACCTAAGAACGTGAAGACTCCACCTCAGATTTTATTTCCCCAGGCTCTTAAATGACCTCCTGAGCTGGAAATCTGTGTATCTTTCCATCTGCTGTTCTACTCTTCTCCAGCTTGCTCTGTACTGCAGGAAGCTGACCTGTTAGGGCTGCTTCTATGGACTCCATAGCCCTCTTGACATCCAGTTGGGTCAGCCAATAGGGAGCACTGCTGGAGATGGGAGGAGGGAGCAGCATGAGGTCAGGGCATCTATTCACTGAGCTCTTCCCCTCAGTGGTGCTGCCAAGTCCTTCCACTGAAGGTCATTGCCTTTTCAGGTGGTCCTCTTCACCCAGCTCTCTCCCCAGGGTCCCCCACCCACACCTCTCCTTGCCCCTTCAGTCCTAGGGGTGGTTACAGCCCTGTTATGCCACCCTCAGGTTTCCAATCCATCCCATTGGTTTCCCTACACCTTGACCATCCCTTGTAAATAGTCTCTGTGTTAAACTCTCCTCAGTTTATCTAACATGAGCGTGCATCTGATCTTTACTGGGATCCTGACTGATATAATATGGCCAGCCCTAGGGTAGGGCTACTATGGGGTTGGGCTGGACATGGCCTAGGTCTGTCACCTTTGCTTTCAGACAGACTGATGACACCAAATCCCTTTTGTACTTGAGCTTCTCATCCTTCTCTCAAATCCATAAATGTTTAGCTCTTTTGGAGTTCTCATATTTTTTAAAATAAAAGAACTTCTAAATTCTCTTAACAAGAGCTATTGCAGGTGTTCCGGCATTTTCCACTTATTCATTTAACAAATGTTTATCGAGCACCTTCTACGTGCTAGACACTGAGCTAGACACCAAGCACACATCTTCAAGCAAAACAGACATGCTCAGTGCTGGAGCTGTGGAAACAGTAACCCTGAATGTTCTGCAAAGAAACGGCTTCCTGCAAAAAGAGGTGCCTTTACTTTCATGTTTTCCAACTGGATGAAAGCCAGTGCTGCTTCCTTCTGAGAGTTTATATTCAGCATTTCATGATATCCTGAAAGAACTTCAGTCTTATCTTCAGAAGGTAGAAAGGTAATGCAACCTAGCAAAAGGATGATTCTGGAAGCAAGGGAACCTCAGTTTCCTTGTAATCAAAGGTTGGCCTTGAGCACCAGCAGGGCTGATCAGCCTTGGCACAGCTTGGCCCTGGTGTTGTCACCTTCATGCCATCACCCTGCCTGTGCTCTTCCCAAGTCTGTCTCATTCTAACACCTGATCCGCCCAGCCTTTTAGGCAAGGTGTGCATGTCCCAAGGCACTCACAGCCATCATTCCAGATCCCCTTTCCTCTTCCTGACATGGTCTCACTCCCGACCTATTTCTTCTAGAGACTGAACCTGAGTTGACTGCCTTTGGCATCACCACCCTGTGCCTGGAAAATTGGTGTCTCTTCTCAACCTTCCAGGGCTTTGACTCTTGGTTGCTTCTGCTGAGTCTGAGTAGCTCATCCGTCTGGCTTTCCATACCCCACACTGCCTTAAGGAGCTGCCCCTCTCTTGACTCTGGTCCCTTGAAGCTCAACTCCCAACGTGAGCTCTGGACTCCCTGCTCCTCTCTATGAACTTCCAAACCCAAGAGTTCTTTTTCCAGTCAATCCCTATGATTTCTCCTCTTCAGAGGCCTCGAAGAGGAACCCAGCCCTCCTCCTTTCTTTCGTCTCTACTTCCCTTTGTGCCTTCTCTCCTAACCCTTCTCTGTTTCTGCCTCTCACTCCTCCTAAGAAGGGCAATAGGAGTTCCTTGCTTTCAAAAATGGATATTCTGGGGATTGCATGTAATTCAAGTTTATAACACTTGAAATTTAATTAATGTGCATAAAATAATGATGGTGATGATGATAACAATAGTAATAATAATAATAGCTTTCAATGATTTCTACACTACAATTGTTTTCAATGTTTTCTACAGACTAGGCACAAAACTAAGAGCTTTATATGCATCAGCTAATTTAATCCTACAGGAGCTCTTGAAGTAAATATTGTCATTCCACCCAGTTCACAGTCAAAGAAACTACAGCTCAGAGAGGTGCAGTGATTTGTGCAAGGTCACACAGCAAGTGGTAGAACTGGGACTCCAAAACAGACCTGCTCAATTCTAAATTCCAAATTCCAACCTTCTTGCCTTCACTACTTCACTCATTAAGGGAATCCTGTTCTAATTTCTCGTGAAAGAAACAAACTTCTACAACAGAAATACCCCCGCACCCCACTACTCACTTTGTAAGTTTTAACTTTTGTATAATGAGCTTCCCGTGGCAAGGCACACCCATCCTCTTTATTGGGTGGGGGAAGCCTTCACCAGGTGAAGCCTCCTATTTACTCTTCATCTACTGCTGGTCCTGGACCGGGTGTGGCTGTGGGTGGAGAGCCACCCAAACTGCCTCTTTACACTGCTCACCCACAAGTCCTCCCTAGGTTGATGGTGGCATCAGATACTGTCCTCCTGACAGCATCACCACAGGGGACAGTAGCAAACGCTTGACTTGGACTAGAATTAGAGCTTCCAATGACATACAATCTCTCTCTCTACATGTTTTTACCTATTATTTAGTTACATATTTATTTTATTTATATTACGTTTGAAAAGGAACAACTTTCTCCATGAAAAACAGATGCAAATAGAGAAAGGCCATGCACTTAGTTAAATTGAGCCATGATGTTCAATCATTCATTCAACAAATACATACAGAGTATCAATAATGTGCCAGGCAAAGAGCACAATATTGGGTTCTCTCTTCCAGGACTTTATACTTCCATCAGTAGAAGGAATAAAATATTCTAAGTGTCCCTGCAGTAGACTAGATTATAGTTTAGCAAACAGCCACTCTCTTCTTTCACCCAGATTCTCTGCCCCACTGCTCTGGGACTTGGTTATACAAAACAGTTTGGCCAATGGAAAATGGGCAGAAGTGGTAACATGCCAGTTTCAAGTGGAGCCTTGAAGGGGTGTTGCAAATATCTGCTGGCTTTCTTGGAACACTGCTGGCCAAGGCAGGGTGTTCTGTCAGCCTGGGTCCCAGAATAGGAAGATATATGAAGGCAGCCCCAAATGGCAGCACCAGCTCCCAGCCACTGGCAGTCTGCATGAACAAACTATATATATTTGTTACTGAAGGCCATCGAGACACTGAGGCTGTTTGTTACACAGCATTATCTCAACAAAAACCGAGTTATCCAGGCCATGGAGAGCTATATTCCAACACAACCATCTGGTGTTTTTCTTGCTTTTGAGTTAAAATTGGTATCATCTTATAGGTAATGAGCTTCACTGATTCAGCTAAGATATATGCAGAACTACTAGTCAGATGGGGGAAGCTGAACAAAACCTACTGATCTACATGTTATATAAAGTACCTGTAGAAATGCCAGATATCAAACACCAGCCCTTATACAGGGAACATGGTTAATCACTGCTACCCATGGAAGCCTTGTTTTCTACTGTTCATTATTAATATCTAAAGTTAACATTAGCCACATCAAGGGCAAGCACTTGTTTAAATACTCTGAAGGCTCCAAATGAGTTTAATGTTTATAACCCAAGACCAAACATGTCAGGCAGACTTAAGAAAACTGAGACTGTGGCTTTAGAAGCCACTCCAGTCACCATCTGGTGCACTGTAGGGGTTTAATCATGTTCTTTTAATTTCCTGTAGTTCAACAAATATTTGTCGAACCTCTCCTGTGTGTAAGACACTGGAATACAAGGGAGAGAAGGCATGGTTTCTACCATCAACTCACCAGGCTTGCCATTTCATGGAAAGGATAGGATGAGTACTTATAGAACTAAAATTAAAGACAATATATGTAAAATATTCTGAGAGAAGTGCCAAAATTTGCTAGGGATAGATTTAAAAAAGAGAAGGAGTGTATCCAATCAAGAAAATTGAGAATTTCAAACAGAAGTAACAAAGGTGCAGAGGCTAAATGAAATTGAATATGAACTAAGGACAAATATAATGGGAAGATCAGTAAAGGCCACATTGTGGGCAGCTTCTGATGCCAAGTTGGTAAGTTTATTTGCAAACCCAAGAATGACTGAACTTAATGAAATCCATCATATCCATTTTGACCACACCCGTCACTGGCCCCAGAGTTTGCATTTTTCTGAGAACATCAAGTCACTAACAACTTGAACCTCCACAAAAACAACTAGAGGTGAAAGATGCCAGTGAGACGTGTACATGACCGCAAGATGGTTTCCATGGCTACACCCAAGAAGGAGCCGTCTAAGCAGGCTGTGTCTGTGGGGAAAGAGGAAAAAGCTCAGCAACGAGTATGACTGCAGGTATTTTTACACTCCAGACCTCCGGCAGCACTGGCTGGGTGAAGACGGATTAAATAGTGCAATGGACTGTCTTGACCCTCACTTCCGACGTTGACGTGGGGTCTTGCCTCTCCAGGAAGTAGCACCCTGAATGGGTGCTAATGGTAGGGAAAAGCCCTGCACACCACACCTGCCCCGCACCCCTACACATTTTCCCCAGGCTGCACCTGGCTTCTGGTCTCACCTGCCCCACCTAATTACACCCATGACTCCAACTGGCCAGAAAACACATCACTATCAGGCAATTACAAAACAAAACAAAGAAATTCAAGTAGTACCAGGTTCCCAGTTGGATTCAGCAGAGCTCCTCTAGCGCCATCTGCATGCCTCTGATTTCTGCTCCCACGGCCTATTGAAATGATCCAGTGGTTCAACTTCTGCACGGGCCATAAACGCAGGGATAGGGCCTTGTCCCTTCTTCTTGTGCCCAGGGCCTAGTCCATAGACAGCACAGGTTAAATAATAGCAACAGCTTTTCCGTGCATGAAATACTTTCCCTCCTCCCACACCCACCCTATTATCTCACTGAATCCTTCCAACAACCCAACCCTATGTGGTAGGCATTACTATCCCCATTTTACAAACAAGGAATCTGAAACTCAGAACGCTTAAGTAATTCCTCCAATATCACATAGCTAGGAAGCAGAGAAGCTAAGATCTATTGAAATGTAAGCCCTTCTTATCGAAGCAGGTTTGTATGTGTTGAATGGAACTGAGCCAGGTTTCTGGCATAGGAAGACTTAGGTGTCCTCCCTAGATCAACCTTTTGGGAGAAAGGCTCCTTCAGGATTTGACACTTGGGAAATTCACCTCAGGCTGGTGGTTGGCAGAGACATACAGGGCTTTTGTTGATTGTCTTAAACTCTGTTTGAAACCGAATTTGAATCTCTGGGGGTGGGTTATAGGGAATTTACAAGAGTTGCTCTGTAATTCTTTCATCAGGGTTGTGCATATCAGGTCAGGAGACAAGGATTTGTCCAAGTCAAGAACAGAGGGCTGGACGAGTGACAGGGACTTGCAGGCCAGCAGACAGGCCTCACACAGCTGGTGGACACCCATCAGTGGCCTTCCACACATTCACAGGTTCAGAGAGAGCACTGTTGCGAGAGGGCAGCAACTGGCTCTGGACAGAAGCAGAGAGCACTGTCTGGAAATGAATGGGACTTCAAGTTAAGAATCTTGGCCTACTAAAGCTAGCATGAGTATCCAGTGATCATTTGTCCCAGGGAAGTCTTTTTCAATCCACTGAGGAATGAATCCACAACTGTTCCAGATTTTTTCAAGAAAGAAAATTAGGCCTCTATCACTGCTGGATGATGACCAAGATCTGTTTTTCTCAGAACCATGTTCTACAGTCCAGTGTCCAGACAGATCACAAGGCATGTCTGAAACAGCCAGGCTTACTGGCACTCTGACCCCAGGTCAGGAGCCACAGGTAAAGAGTATGACTCCGGGCTCTTACCTTGGGCTTGAGTAAGGGCGAGCAGGGTCCGCCCTGCTGACACCAGCCCCGACCATCCGGTTCATCAGGATGAAATTATTTTTGTTTGCAGTCGCACCCACTGCTCCGCCTCAAGAAACAGCAGGCAGCAGCTTCAGACCTGGTGTGAACCCTGCCAAAAGGCACGCACTCAGGCCACAGGTCTGCAGCCAGACCCAGAGAGCAAACCTTCTATGAAATCCAGGTGGTCCCAGGAAGAGGCTGGACAGAAGGGAGGGGCCATCAGGCCCAAAAGCATTGCCTTCTCTCCCGACAAGACCAGTTAGGGAACCAGTGAATGATTTATAACTGGACTATTTATTAAAAGGAGTACAGTAACTTCCTGGATCACTCATCCACAAGAAATGAAGAAAACTCCATTGAAATGCAAGATTCCAAAAGGCTTAAGAGATGTATCAGGCGGTAGGTTATTAATTGTGACTTTTTAAACCTGGGCCTAAATCCAGACTTTAAAGAAATTGGCTCCCTCAATTTAAAAACTGGCATTTTCTCAGACTAGACTGAAGCTCATTAACAGTAGATTAGCAATTTAGAGTAAGCACTCAGGTAATAAGGAAGGGAAAAGCTACATGCCTTATTATATCAGAACTCTAGGCTCACCTCTCTCTCCTTCTCCCCATCCCATAAAGCAATGGAAAGTTGCAAGTCAGGCCACTCACTTGGAAATGATCCTGTTTAAAGAATGCAAGATAAATATGAAAATGATTAACATAGCAAACACATTGGAAAGAACTTTGTGAGTTTTGCTGTGTTAAACTTTTCAATTAACATCATTTTTCAACTACACTGATTTGGAAACAGGCTTGGAATACTTATCTTTCTTTTCCCAGCAGGAACTTTTCTTGTGATGATTTCATTAAGAATTATGAGTCCAAAATCAATTGACTAACATGAAATGTCAGGGGGAAAAATTGGGACCAGCAGGATGATCCTGCTCTGCAGACTATGTTTCCATTCTTAGAATAACCAATCACAACAGACATAACTCTGGGGGGTATCCTAGACTTCACCTGACAGGAATTCAGGTGACAGCAGAAGTGAGGACTGATCACCCCAAACTAGAACTGATACTCAGCTTGCATACCCTGATATGCCCAGCTGTTACTTATAGCTGTGCAGTGCACAGCCTACACAACCATGCAATTCAGGTCTGGGTATGGCCTCACCAATTGTCTATATCTGGTATCTTTCTCATTGGCTGACACCCTTGCTGGTTGTTAAACATTATGAATAACACTCTGTCAAGGCCCAAGACCCTGCTGGTTACAGTCTCACTCACTAAGGTCTAATTTTTGTTTACTTTCTCTTTGCTACTTGGGCCTTGCTTAAAGTATCCCTTGACAATTTTGAAGATATGTGTAGCATCAGTGTTCAGTCTATATTTAGTGACTTAATACCCCTATTTTGGCCATGGTGCCCATTTCCCTGGTATCTCCAATGAGAGACCTTCTGTTTCTCCAGAGAAAAAACTTCCCATCGCCTTTCAGGTATGCATGACTCTCAGAAGCATGAGTTATGGGAAGATGATCTACAGATCCAGTACTTTCTCAAATAGGTATCACTCTACTTCCTCTGTGAGCTCCTCTTCATGCACAGGTCCAGAAAAATCTATGCCTTTGTGCAGGGTGGTTAACAGCTTTCCTCAGTGCCAGATGGAGCTGTGGCTTTTCTCAATCTGCAAAGTCAGTTATTATCTGTTCATCGATTGTCCAGTTTCTGAGACTGTGTTGCTATTGTCTCCTCTCAGCTCTCCATGTCCTCCTGAGCTCATCCTTTAAAAAAAAAATTTGCTGTAATTTTGTAATTTTACTTCAGTTTGAGAAGAAAACTAACTTAGATCTAAGTATGTTGACTCCACCATGTGAACATGAAACCAGAATATATTCAGTTTTTAAGCCCAAGATTTCCTAATACTATATCATTGGACCAAATAACAGTAGTTAGTCCTCTGAAGTAATCTTTAAGGGTTTTAAAAACTATTATTATTGCTGCTGTTGTAGTTTTAAAGAACAAGAAAATCCAAAACACTTAATATACAAATCGGAGTTCCTAAACCATGGGCAAAACCTGTTTGGAAGTTCATGAGAACATTGGCTCTTCTTTGTGTTCAGAATAGACTGTTAGTCTCTTGACTAGAGAGTAGGGGTGATGTTTTGATTATAGGCAGCAGTGACGATGTTTGTCTGTCCGACAAAGCTCCAGTATGGAAGAGCTATTCGTTCTGACACCGCTGGAAGCTGGGAAAGCTTGTTAGGATGCTACACACACAGATATGTCAAGAGCATGAGTTACTAACCCTACAAGAAAATCCGAACTTGATTACCCACTGACGTTATCTCATTCTTTTGAGAAAATAAAACCAGTAAACTGTTCACTCTAAGAAAGAGAGGGGGACTTAGCTCACAACCAGGTTTGCCCTTCCTGGGGCCCCCTGGGCTTTTTACTCAGTTTTTAGACCCTAACAGCCACCTCAGGAGGAAGAACCCTGTAATACCCATCCAGACTGCTCCTCTCCAGAACTCATGGAATTCATTCAGCCAGGATTTGAGTTCCTACAACATGGCAGGCACAGTTTTAAGTAAAGCAAACAAGAGAAAACCCCTGCCTTCACAGAGCTTTTATTCAAGTGGGTGGTAAAATAATATGGTAGACAAATGTATAGGTGATAAATGTGAAGGACTAAGAAAAAATTTAAGAAAATAGGGGACAGAGTGATGAGAGAGGTCTGCTGCTGTTTTGGGTTGAGTATGCAGGGATGTCCTCTCTGATGAGGTGACTGAACAGCTGGAGGAAAAGCATTCTAACTAGAAAGTATGAGCTGGACTTGAGGCAGGAGGTCAGCTAGCATGTTTAAGAAAAAAAAGGAGGTTGCATAGAGGTGGAATAATAGGAGATGAAATCCAGAAGGTGGGTGGGTGGATCACATATGGTTTTGAAGGGCATAGAAAGAGCTTCTGATTTTATTCTGAGAGATTTGCTAACCACTGGAAGATCTTGAGCTGGGAATGACATGATTTGACAATCATTCTGGGTGTTGAAAAGAGGTCATGGATGCAGGGCAAGGACAGAAGTAGGGAGACAAGTTAGATGCTATTGCAATAGTCCAGGCAAAGATGGCCATGGCTCCAAGCTGGATAGGAGCAGTGGAGGTGGTGAGAGATGCCCAGTTGCATTAAGAACATATTCGGAAGGTACAGCTGATGTACTGGATGTGGAGTTTGAAAGAAAGAGAGGCGTCAAGATCACTGCAACCCCTGACCTTTACAGCTGGGGGATGGATGTGATATTTACTGAAATAAGACAACTAGGAGAGAAGAAGCTTTACACCAGGCAAGGTCAAGAGTTTGGTTTTGGACATACCAAGTTTAAGATGCCTGCCAGACTCCACGGGAGCATATTAAATAGGCAATTGGATATAGAGTATGGTGCTCCAGTGATAGACACAAAGTGGACATATAAAGTGCCCCTTTTGCCCCCATTCTCCAGCTACAGGGGTCTGAGCTAAAGGAGGAAAGAAGCATTTAGGAACAGTGGGGACTTAGCCCACAACAGGGTCCAGAAGCTTCTTGCAGGTAGGTGTTCAGAAGAGATTGTGGAAAAACTGAACTTCAGATTTAGAATCAACCAATTTAGAAAATCTGGCCTAGAGGACCTCAGTACATAGAGCAAGAAGCGCATAAAGACACTGGCCACTGGCCACAGACCTTGAAGAATTCAGAGCCCCAGGCACAGAGGAACCTGTAGCCCTGCTAACATGGGACCTTGCCATTTGTTCCTCTCACTTGCCCCACCTGGAGGAGAGCATTCCTATGTTCTCTGCAGCTGTAGGGTGTGGCTCTGTGGCAGGCAGATACCTGCAACATCTTCTAAGATTAATGTCCTTTTCCTGTATATTCATCTAACTAGAATATCTTTTTCTTTTCTTGTGTCAGAATTTTTGGATCATTCTTTCATTTACACCATACATACTTTTTGAGTACATGCCTTTGGGTACATAACTCACCATTGCGTAAAACCTATGTTAGGCTCTGCAGAAATACAAAAGCATGTACATTTCAGAGACGTGTATAAATAAGAGCAATAGAAAAACACTGTTTAAAAGAAGCTCCAAAGTGCAGGAGGATTGAGAAGAGGAATGATTCTTGACTGGGATAGTCAGGTGGACTTCTCAGCGGGAGTACAATGTGAGCTGGGCTTTAAGAAATCAGCAGATTCACCTTTAGAGAAATAGAGAGAGAAGGTAGCCTTCTAGATGAGGGACTCCTATATATTAGGAGACGTGATCCTAACAGTCTCCAGCCTTTTAAATTCATGCTTTCTTGGCTGAGTGGGAGAAGAGGAGAGACGTCATTTAAGGGACAAGCTTGCAACTCGTAGGCAAATAAGTCCTGGAGGTCTAATGCACAGTATAGTGAGTGGAGACAACTATATAGTACTATAATCATCAAACTGGCTAAGAGATTAGATCTTAATTATTCCCACAACAAAAAAGGAATGTAATTATGTGAGAGAACAGAGGTACTATTATTACAATGGCAATAGTATTATACAATATATAAATGTATCAAATCAGTAGGCTGTATACTTTAAATTTATGCAATATGTTCAATATATTTCAATAAAGATAAATAAATAAATCCATGCTTTCTTTCAATAAACATAAAAATGCTGCTTCTTCACTTAATGTTATTTGAATCTCAAAATAAATTAAATACCAACACATAAAACTAATTGAAGCAATGAAATAAAATTCTGAAACTAAATTCTACTCCAGCTCCCCTCCCATACCACCATATACCCACCCAATTCTTAGTAAGCGAACAAATAACATGAAGGTGATCCTTTCCAAAGGCAGAGGACTAGGAACTAAACTCCCGTCACACCTCCCCACCTCCCCTTGGCATTACAAGCCGATAAAAATAACCCCACAGTTCCAAGCAAGGCGTGAAGGCAATTGAGAGAGAGAGTCAGGGTTCAACATTGCTTCTGGCAGGAAGATGCGTTCCATAGAAACTGGTTCTCAGGTTTCATTTTTTGCTCAAATTTGAGCTGACTTTACCTAAAACTAATAACTTGGCCAGAGTGTCTCTCCAGACACCCACTTTCCCCCATTAAGTATGGAAAGAGTTCGAAAAGTAAGAAGTATTTAATATTTGCTGTAAGAAAGCAGACATTTTTAAAGGAAGATGCCTCATTTCATTAGACATGCAAACCGGCCTGTGTTGCATCTAGATTTTGTTAGCGGTGCTCTGGCAGGCTGATGATCAAAGGGACCTTTATATGAACTGCTGAAAGGCTCCGCTGTGACGAGCCCCAGTCACGGAGCAAACAGAGGCAAAGAGAACTTCTTCCTCAAACCAGAGGACGGAAGGCGGGCTCCCCCACCCCACTCTCCTGGAAAAGGCCTACTGATCACAGAGTCCTCTCCTATGAAGGGAAACAAGGGGCATTAGAACTCCACCACCCACATAAATACAGGGCTCGTTTATGTGTCTAATGGTTAACACGAGGTGCAAATGTCATGGGTCACATGGGTTAATTCAGAAAGAAAACACATGCAATCGTGCCATTAATCATTGACCTGAAATCTTAAGTTCCACCATAGGCTCAGTTCTTACCCAGACTTTCTTCTGAGGAACAGTAATAAAGGAGAATGGTGCCAGATTGAGTTCCCAGGAGCTTTGTAATCAGGAAAGATTTGACGATTAAGCTTCATGGGCTAAATACATGTATTGGCCTGGTACATTTTCTTTAAACCCTATATTCAATAATACCACAAGCTAAAATTGCATTGCACAAAGGCAACTAGGCCTAACTGGTGCAAAGAAAGTTCACCGAAGTTCACATTGAACTTGG